CCTGTGCTATTCATGAGCCTCAGCTGCAGGGTGGGGAAGAGTAGGTGGGTGCCATGTAGGTGGAGATATTCCCATGTTCCACTCTTAAACAAGATTCCTCCTGTTAAAAGGAGTTTAGAACCCTTTAGAGATTGTCATAGTAGGCAGAAAACTTATTTAACTGAGGAACGTTAATAGTATCAGAGAGAAAAAAGCTACACCACCTATGGTCACAATGAGAACCATATCGATTATGTTCTAGAGAAAAGCAGTCTTCACAGAAATCACTTTTGAAAAAGTTCTATCTCATCAAATGCATAAGCAAAAGCTAGCAGTCAATAGTAGGTATAAGCAAGCAAGAAGCAAATATCCCAGAACAGGGAACAAAAGAACACAGGCTGAGTGAGAAATATTCTTTAACCACACTGACTATCAGGTCCTAGAAAAGGAGGGACTCGGCTCCAACAGCAACACTCAGCACAGGTAACTATACTGCTCATATCCACACACGTGTAATAACATGCCTGGTTCATTATACTCAGTGCACGTATTTATACTGTTTTATATACACGCACATGCGATAACAACATGCCTGGTGTTCATTACTGAATGTGCTCAGTTGTTTTCAACAAATCTGTTCGCACATCAGTATCAGAACTGAGAGGGCCCTATTCACGCGGCCAAATGCCTGTGGCTTAAGGTGGGAAAACCAGGAACCAGGTAGACACACTTTAAAGAATGCAGTCTTCACGAAGTTTGTTTCATTCTAGGTGTTCCATACACTCTCTCGCTGTCAGTTCACATCCTTCCTAGAGCAACTTTTTAATGTTTTAAGCAGAAGAAACAGCACCAGTTTCCAACATGACCTGCTTCTCTCACCGTTTAGCACAACACTATTTCAGACGCCGCCCTCCTGTTACATTTGGTTAAGGGCACACACACCTTTCTGAATTTCTTGAAATTCTTCGTCTGCCCGTAGTCGCCACTTACACCAGCTGCACTCCTGGAGGCGGAGTCACCAACCACCAGCGATCTGAACTCAGTCAGCAACACCCTTGCTGGAAGCAGCTCGCCGTCCTCCGGGAGCCCGTCACTGCTCTTGAATGGGGTTAAGATGGATGGATAAAAAGGAGAAATAACAAAATTATTTGTCATTAAGAGGTCTACAGAAAAAAGTTCAAATACTCTGAAAAAACAGTTAACAAAGTTCATTTCTGGCACTTGAATTTAGAATCGAATCACACCTATTTCAAAAGCAGAAAGCTATTTATTCAAGTGCTCCCTTAACTTCAGAAACATTTACAACATACTAATGTATGTTAGAAGGCTAAACACCTTAGAGTATTTTTAATTTAGTAGTCTATTTTAATAAGTATCATCTCAGTAAACAATTCATCTTTTTACATATATTTTCTTGGCAAGAACCCCAGTACTGTCTACTTCTTTTCATTAAAAACACACACCTACACTCCACTCTATATTTAAGTTTTCTCATCTCCTATATTTAAGCTTTCTTGGACTTCCAATAATTTGTATTTTTTATTATTTCTGACATCTTAGAGAAGTCAATCATTAATTCTGGACACAACACCTCATTAACTGAAAGCCACTTTATTCCAGATTAACAGTTATTAAGTTGGCCTAAAGATCCCTTCCTGCAGCTGAATGAGAGTCTTTATGTCATTTGCCACTAACTAGTCACAACCAACACTGCTACAGCGGCTCAAGGCTCAACATCTGGTTTTTCAAACTGCTTTACTGTATGTTAATATGGAAGGCGCTGCCAGGACTAAGATAAAGACAGGGAGGGAAGAAAAAAGGGAAAAGTCAAAAGAAAAGGTTCGTCTCATAGTGACAGACTATAATCAGAAACTCTAATAAAATAACAATGGCCTAACAGTTTTGTACTATGTTTTAGAGTTTAGAAATTTTTTACATCTATTACTCTGCTTGACATAAACAACAACCCTGCTGGAGAAGTGTCAATCTGATTTTGTAAACGAAGGACCTGAGGTTTATAAATGTGACGATGACTTGCTCAAGGTCACTTATCTATGGAGTAGAGGGCAGGGAATCACACTTGGGCATTTCTCCAGACTCTTTTTGCTACATCAAGGTTATAAAATGATCTATCCGTATCCAGAATTCGCATAATTATGAAAGTAAAACACAGAAAGAGAAATAATTAATCCTAAGAATGTAAGCTGACAGAAACTGATGAGGTTATGTTCCATATAAGTCAAATCTTCATAAAAATTAAACAAAATAAAAATTTCCTCACAGATGGTTCTTCTTTAGTTGACCACAGTAATTCTTTCTTGAGCTCACATTTCTTCCCAATTTCATTTTCTTGCTAAAAAAAACAAAAAAAATATCATTCATAAGAGTTATAAAAATGGTACCCTTTCCAAAAACCTTAAGAAATATTCACACTCCAGACCCAGTTATTTGACTTTCAAGTATTTTCCTAGAGAAACTATAAGATGGGAATAGAAATATATGGAGAAAACACATTGCAGTATGAGTTAGTTTTGAGAGCGAAGAACTGGGAGCAATCTGTTTACATTCTTTACTTAAGGAATACTTAGTATCAGAAATGTAAGAGAAAAAAGTGGCTATAAAATTGCATTAACAGTGGATTCCAAGTTTGCATATGATTTTAAAAAGTAAATACTAAAATATTAACTGTAGTTATCTGCAGACAGTAGGATTATCAACAAATAGTTACTTTTTCCCACATGTCTACATTATATACTACTTTTACAGTTAAAAATAAAACAAACACTGTTAAGGGATTCTATCGAAATTTATGGTTAGAATTGAATTTTAAATCACCCTTAATTCAAGAAAAAAGAAAGTTACTTTAATTAAGATGTTTATCTGCGATACACTGGAGACCACCTTATATGCAACCAGACTGCCCTTCACCTTGACATGTCCCGACCCCGTTCCACACATAAGCGCATCCCATACATGGTTTTCTAATACTTCCCATCAACTCGCAGTCCCTTCAGATACAATAAAAGGGCATATTGTTCTATTGTTTTACATCAAATTTTCAATGATTCATTAATAAAATTCAGAAAAATTTATTTTAATATTAAAGTTGGAAAGAAAACGCAGGAAAAGAACGTACTTTGTGCTTGCTTAGGGACTCGAGAACGAATGTTGTATGAAAACTTGGATTCTGAGCCGACCGCGTGCCCTTCCTGGCCACTCGCTCACGTCATCGCCGTCAGAACAGTTCACTCCCTGCACCTTCCCCCCACCCTGCCCTGCTCTGTCGAACCTGCTCAAACTCTTCTGCAAGCTTTTCTTTCCTAGCTCAGAAAATCATACGACAACCCACCCCGGCCCTCGGGCTGCAAGCCCGGGAACCATCCCATGATGGTAGGCCGTGCTCTTGTCCCCGCTGTCAAAACCAAGCTAAGCGACCCTGGAACGTTACCGAACCCCTCCCACTGCCAGACTCCTACTCTGCTGCATGCGGACAGCATGCTTCACCGCAGGGCTGCTGCGCACGGAATGACGGTGTGCGGGAGGTGGTGGCTATTGCCCTTGGGCTTTGGGAAGATGCTGGAGGCATACGAGAGCAGGAAACCTTAACTTAGAGGTGAAGAGGAGATACTGTGTAGACAGCAGGTGCTGTTAAGAAGAAGGTTAATAGGGATGCCAAATCATGTTCGCGTTTCACGGAGACGGGAGGTGGAGAGCAAGGCCCTGATGCAGGCACAGCGGCCAGTCACATCAAGATAAACGCCCGGCAGCAGCGCCCCGCCAACCGCGTTCTGCTCCGGCCTGCAGAAAAACCTCACAGACGTGCTAGGATCTGCATTTAAACCGCTAAACGGAAAAACAACAATTCTATTATCAACATATTTTAGAAACTGCCTTTCTGAATTATGGCTAAGGATCCAACGTCAACGAAAAGTATCACATCTTTTGCCTTCTTAAAAGTGCAACATCTTTTAAAAGAAAAAGGTTAAGAAACACTTTTTTCTGATAATCACCTCTGTAGCTTGAAATGTTAAGCGCAATTACTTTAGTCCATGAACAAAAAGGACTTTCAGACAAATTCTTAAAATGACAGAAGAAATGAAAAACACACTCAGTGGTCTGCGTAAGGCTGATCCCGTGTCCACGCCCGTTTCCCAGCTGCGACATTGTGCTGTGGTTTTACAAAATGTTACATCAGGGGCAACAGCAATTTCCTTTAACTGCTTGTGAATCAATTACCTCAAAATAAACAATGCTTAAAAAGTATCTAACATTTAAAGTCTACTTTTGTAACAAGATTTGCACTAAAAAAAATTAGTGCTGGAATAGTGATTTAACTTTTAGAATATCCGAAAGTGTGCCATACATTGCTATTCACTCTCCAAGTCTACACGACATATTTATTTTGCACTATCTCTACTTAGAAGGCCACAAACAGTAAAATAAAGGCAAAGACAAATTATGCTACAGAACCATAGAACAAAATAAAACAATTCCACTCCCTGACATCATCGCCAGCATGTGAACCGCGGCTGTTGAACGCAAGGTCTCAGGGCCACAAGACTGCCATCGGTCCCCACACCACAGGGCGCGGTGCTAACGCCCAGTCACGGGGGTGGGCGACAGAGCTAACAGACCTCTGTGGGGGATCAGAATGGGAAATCTAGATTTCATGAAATCTGTGCTCCCACCTAATGAGCAAACTCGTCTACAGATAGTAGGCAACTTACGCATAAAATAGGAAGTGTCTAAACAGTTTTCTTAGACCAAAGTGGGTGAGACAAATAATCGATATTCATGAAAACAGGATAGAACATTAAAGATCAAAATGGAATAAAAAATTCCTAGTGATGTTACCCTAAAAATTTATTTAGTATTTTGTTTCACTAACTTTGTTCATCTTTCTTTACTCTCTTAAGGCACCTCCTAGACTGATACTCATAGCCAAATGCATGATGTAATTGTACGGCCCGAAATCTATTAAAGTGATCGTGCATAAGTTTTATTTATTGTCATTTATTATATACTGTCAAAGAATCATTGTATTTTTAGCAATTTATCTTATCAACCAATGAATTCTTATACTTAAAAATATGTTGAAGATACTAAATTTTTTTCCTCAAGGGAAACATAATGGGTGCTCACACTATCAATATAAATATCTGAAGTATTTTTAACATTTCAAGTTTCTATTTATAATACTTTTCATTAAAAAACGTTACTTACAGATACTCTGTTACATTCTGATATTCTCTCATCATTAAAGGAGCCATTTGTCTCCACGTCCAGCCGCGGCCTTTTTCTAACGTTACCATCTTCCTCTTGCTTCTGAGCTTTCACTTCGATTTCCAGCTCTGGTTTTGTGTCCTTGAATAACTGTTCCAATACTTCATCTTCTATGGCTAAGTCATCGATGGTCCTTTTTTCTGACTTCAGTTTTTCTGTAGAAAGAGATTTATTGGCAGAATTTTTCACAGTGGGTTTTAAGTCTCTATCCGTAAATAGGTGATCTGGTTTCTTCCCCACAGGCTCATTGTGAGGCAGAGGCTGCTCGTTATTTTTCCACATTGAGGGTGTAGCGGGTTGTGTTTCTTCTAAAAGAGAACAAGACATTTCTATTCTTGCTGATTTAGATGAGATTTCTTGATTTTCTTCATCCCTTTCCCTTAGATTTAAAAAGAAGAGAAAAAAAATAGGCAAGTAAACAGCGAAGTAATTTAATAGCTTGGCAGTATGCATGCCCTCCCCCATTTAATTCACAATATTCCTGATTTTATTAACAATATTACTAGAAATAAAAAAAAGAACAGACATCCGAAAACAGTGGATAACTCATATATACTCTACTGTTTTGAGAAGACTGACGCTATGGCCAAAACGATGCGGAGATGTCCATCTTCTCTGCTGAAGTGGCAGGAGTGATAAATCAATGAGAAAAGGTAAAAAAATATAAAACTACAAACGACTTGTTGCCGGGACACAGTAGCTTACTTTACAATGTAGGGAACTTGTGGGAATAAAACATAATGGGTTAATGAGAGCTGGAGTCAGGACAAGTCGTCACAGACGCTAAATCCGGAATATTCTACAGACGACACACTGCAAGCGACGCGCGGCCCAGAGCTTTCTAGACAATACTGTACGTTTGTTCCGTAAGCACTGAACACTGTAGGCATTAAATTGTGCTAAGGCCTGTAGAGGACATAAAAGCTCAGGTCTCTGCTCTCCAGGAGTTCCCTGGATTCACGCTGAATGGGACACTCAAGGCGACATTTTAATAAGTCTAACTAATGTCAGCATCCTGGGCAGGCTGATCAAGACGTTTTTGCAATAATTTCGGTGGTCAGAGTTCAAAGCAGAAAGCTGGCAGCACAGACGGAAAGGGGGGAATTTTAAGGCACTGCAAGTCAGAATCAACACTACTGGTTTGGGAAGGCAGAGGAGGAAGAGTCGAAGATTGTGACAAAGTGCACCATTAACAGAAAACGCACATTCATTCACGGGGAGAAAACCAGGCCTGCCATTTGGGAAAACAGCAGGAAATTACTGTGGAGAAATAAAAGTGAATCTTAAAGGATAAATTAGGGCCAAATGCATTGATCATCTGTAATAACATCATGAAATCCTGAAGGTAGAGACCTCCAGGTATAAAATGCAGTAGCAGGAAGAAAAAAGTCCTCCAAAAAAAGGGGCAAAGGGCAAGTCAGAGAGGGAAGGAGCTGGGACAGGCCACTGCCACGACAGCTGAGAAGACTCAACGAGCCAGGCACAGGAGCTGCATGCCAGCAGGCCATCTGAGTTGGCGATGTGTCAGTGGTGACTTTCAAGGATCATCAGGATGAAATGCTGCCAGTTTAGGAAGATCCTACAGAAACGGGAGCGCAGCTCTCGCGACCATCTCCGTTCCTGAGAAGTGTACCAGCCACTGCGAAGGACGCAGGCAGCAGCGAGAGGGAGACACTCGGTCAGGGAGGGTTCTAAGAAGGGAGACGGAGCCCCGAACAGAGAGCCGGAGCCCGAGAGAACGGCTGACGGAGCACGTCCTTCCTCCTGGCGGCGAGGGAGGCCACTGAGGCGCGGGCGGGCGAGGGCCCGGGTGTGGCAGAGGGAAGCGGGCCTCGGTGCGGGAGAGGGAACCAGGTCAAGGGCCACAGCTTTCCCCAGACTAAACGCCACGCCACGAGCACATAACAAGTCCTGGCCTTTCTCGGAGGCACGGAGAGGTGTCCCTAACAAGCGCACCTTTTCTTGGCGGACGGCTGGAAGTAGTTCCTGATGGAGTTGGGCTGCAGCCGCCAGGAAGCCTGAGCCCTCCTGCTGCCCCCCGAGGGCTGGGTGGGGGACAGCTGGCAGGCTGGGGTGTTCGTCCTCGCCACAGCACCTGATGTGACAGCGCTATTATCAGAATTTATTTTGGTGGGTTCCTTCACAGTGGATGTTTCTCGTGAAGGCATTCTGAATTTCTGTTCCACTCCGGAGATTTGCATTTCCTTTGGCCTTTCACTCAAATCCACACTGCGGCAAAATTAAAGAATGCAAGGTAATCAAGTTTACAGCACTTTTTATCTAGAAACAGTGTCCTCTAAGTAGTACTGACATAATACGGCCTGAGAACATAATTATCCTTAGACAATAATTCAGCGAATATTTTACTCTCCCAAGTAGCTCCTGAGTCACTAGTGCTCCCTGAGGACCAACGGTACCTGTCCCCTCTTCACCCTTGCGGCACACAGCAGGCCTACCGCACCACGAGAAAACAACCGGACACGGAAGGAATGTCGACTTAATACCCCATAACAAATTAAACGGGGTGATAAGCCTAGGTAATTTTACTTTAAGATTTTTAAATTATTTCCATGCAAAAAAATAAAAAAACAGAAAATCAGAAAAATAATTTCCTATCATCCAGTATCATATATAATGGGGTTTTTAGATCACTTTCAATGAACTGATGTGGTTATATTCCAGGCAGATGACAGTCTCTATAATAGAACTCAACTCTAGACTACCAGAAAAATGTTTTAAACACACGTACGCACACATAGTTCTACAATGCATAGTTGTCAAACTTAGTTCACCGGTCACAAATAAAGCAGTATAATTCTTTATAGTCTTCTGTGTACATTTGCAAGGAACAAAAAAGAACTGAAATCATAAGACAGGGGTTGACAGACTCCGGCCTCCAGGCCGAACGTGGCCTGCTCTCTGTTTCGTAAATTAAGTGTACCGGAGAAGAGCCACACTCGTTCATTGCAGGCTGTTATGGCTGCTCTCGTGGTACAATGACCGGACTTCCACGGCTGTGACAGAGCTCAACGGCTCAAAGAGCCAAATATATTTACTCTCTGGTCCTTAGAGAAAGCCTGCTGATCCTTGTGCTAAGATACTATCTGCCCTGGCATCTTTACCTCCCCCGCTTCATCTCCCAGGAGATGACCGGACAAACGCACAGAGTCATCACAGATAGAAGTAAAATGAGCCAGTCAGCGGCGAGGCTTTACCGTGTGTCTGCTTGCTCTGACTCCGTGTGGGCTGCGCACGTCATCTTGTTCGCTGGGGCACCTGGCATTAGTTTTTCTTTGACTGACAAGTCCTGGGCAAGGCCTGGCCCTGCAGTCGGCGCCTTCGATCCTGTAAGTCACACGAGAGGAGAAAGAACACGACTGCTACTCACAAGACTGACCTTTGGCCGCTCGCCCTGTCAGACTGTCGTGCTGAGGGGCTGACTGGGGAAGACAGCACACGGTCGTCTCCAGCCAGCGGAGCCAGCGGCTCTTTACTGAAATGGCCTATAAGCGGCCGGTCAGCATCTGCGACGAGCTTGTCTAAACCAAATCATTTTTCGGCAACACCAAATACTTCAGAGTAAAGTGTTATCGACTAAAATAAAAATAATCAACTTAAATTCTATTTCAAATTATGCTTTCAGTAGACAAAAAAATTACATTTCCTCCCTACAGAAAGTATACCTACCCTACTGTCTCTACAATTCAAACTCAACATGTTTGGAATACACTATTTGAAAAAAATGCGTAAATGGGTTTAGACATAAACTTCTTGGCTACTACGGGAAAGCGCGGCCACCTCACCATTTCATGCACAGAGCTGCGGCTGTCGGGAGCTCTTGGTTCTGGCTCCCATGACACCCCCGTCAGCCCACTCACGTTAACGCACTCGGCGCGAGCTGCGTGACCGCACCGCCTCACCCCTCTACGCCTTCCTCTCCTCGGTAATTATGATACTTCCCTCACAAGTTGTTTTGAGGACAAAATGAACAGAGAAATGAGAGTACTCAGAAAATGCTTGGGACATAGTAATGAGCACTGTGCCAGCGTGAGCCGTCTCCACAGTCCTCACGCCTCACGACGCCTGTTCACTTGTGAGTGTCCCTGGGAGACGTGGGCCAGGGACGGAGTCTCGCTCATCTCCGCAATGTCTGCAGTACAGTGGACATGAATAAGTGAACGAAATTAAATTACTGACTGATCATTTTTAAAAGTTGCCATGTGCTGAGCACCCACTGCTAGGCATTCGTAACATGGGTGTGTTTAATAAGCGTTCACTGCTGCTTCCAAACGACTCTGCCGCTCTCCTTAACCGACCGCCTTAGGAGCTCACTGGCATCTCCTTAGACACACGTCCCTAAAATTCATTTAGCTTGCACAGAATTTTGACAAAAATAACAACTAAGGATGCTTCTACGACCATCGAAAGAACATTCATAAATGGGACCTAACGACTGAGAACAGCCGGTGTCCGCCGACAATGGCATCATTCGCAACGTCCGCCGTGCTGGGCACACGAGGGACGGGTCTGCTCTGACTTGCTTGCCTCTGGACTCCAACTGCTTTGAATAATTACAGGTGTATAATAAACACTTACTGAATAAGTGAATGAATGAATACGGACCAAAAAGAGGAAAGAAAGGAGGGGCAAAAGGGAGGGAAGGAGACACGCATTCTCTGTCCCCCTGAAACTGGCTGTGTTCCAAAACTGTGTGTATGACTAGAACCCACACAGACCTACCTAGGACTTAGTGCAAGAAGCTGTACTACTAATTCTAATGGAGTTTTCCCCAATTCCTCATGACCTTGTCTCCATGTGAAATGTCACAGCAGGGAAGGTACGGGCCTAGCAGTCAGGACACCCACACTTTAGGACCAGCTTGGCCGTGGACTATCTATGAGAACTCAACTTTGCTCAGCCTCGAGACGGCTCATCTTCTAATAAAAACAAAGTAGAGGATCTCTACGGCCCTTTCAGCCATAAATACATTTCCAACAGTGGACGATCAAATGTGGTTGTTCTACACTGAAAAAGATGATCGTGTGTAACTTTGTTCAATTGAGCAAATATAAACTACAGACAAGGCCGGTGCTTGCTGCTGTAGGGAATCCAAAATTAACGAGCGCTCACAATCCAGTGGCTGAACGAGGCATGGAAACCACTGGTTACGTTCCAAAGTAGGAAGAAACTCTGACTGGAATGCCAGGAAAAACAGTTACTGGGGAACAGAAAACAGAATAACTAACTCTGACTTGGAGGAGAGTTACGAGAGAAAAAACCTCTTGGAAAACCTCACGAAGCAGACGAGCATCTGTGGAACGCGTCAGGTTTGGATCGGCTATGCTGGTGTTCCAGGATCAGGGACCGTGACGGCGAGGTCCAGGCGCGTGGGGACGGTAAGTGATACAGCATACGCACTCTTAGGGAGGTGCATTTCTGAGATGAGGGTGGCAGGAGAAGGCTGCAGCTAAACTGCTGGTGCTCAGAAGTCTAGGAAAGGGCTCAGTGACCTACTCTAGCGATAGCGAGAGCTTGTGCCTTTGAAAGGGAAGGCGACCAGCGGCAAAGCAGAGCATTAACTGTGGAGATGACTGTGGAGACAGGACCTGTTCTGGGGCAATAAGACAGCCTTCCAGAAAAGATATGGAGGGTTCGAACAGGGCCGTGGCCGTGAGGAGGGATGGCATCAGGCCTCGTGAGCAGAAGCTACAGAGGAAAAACTTCAGGTCTTGCGAGAACAAGAAAGGACTGAAGTTTACAGCCAGAATGTCCCCTCGGTTTGCACAGAAGGCTCCCCTCAAGCTCAGTCCTTCCCCAGATCTTCTCACCCAGAGGTTCTTAGCATCTGTATGATAAACACGAGCTTAAAATCAATCCAAACAAACCAAGATGCCTTGGCTACACCCCAGAATGTTCTCGATGACAGAGAATGTGAATGTGCATTAAAAATGTTTCTGAGGCATCTATCTAGTTGAGAACCAGTTTTCTAAAAGAGAAACAGAAGACAGTTGTCCCGTAAAGGAGCTGGGATGAGGGGAGCTGCTCACGCAGATACGATTCTGTCTGTGTCGCATGGTTTTGTTGTGTTAAGTCTGAAATTACTGATCGGTTCCTCTGTTTTTTTCTGTACCAGAACAGAAATCCACTGTCAACAAAAAAATATCTACAGTGCATGCTCTCTCTAAAGGCTGCGGGGCTTCTCTCTCTGGTATCCATAATGGAGTGGTTCTGTCTCTGAGAGGTTGAAAAGTTGGTCTTTAGTTTCCGACTCTCAGGATGAATTCTGGGAAGGTTAGCCATGAATTTTGGGGAAATATTCATTACATCACAATTCCAGCAAAATAAGTTATTTGGACAAGCCCTCTCGCAATCACTCCACAGCACCTGTTTTAGCTTCCTCTCTGTACTTGACCCAGCCAGGACTGACCGGCATCTGCTTGCGTGCTTGTTAACCATCTGAATCCTGACCTTTAGAATATAAAGTTTACAATAACAGGCAACTTGTTTACTTTATTCACACTGTATCTTCGGTATGCAGCAGCCACAAATATTTGTCAGATGAATAAATGAATGGGAAAGGTGAGGTTTAAAAGACAGTAAAAATGGTCACCCCCGGCAAGTATGTAGTAATGTGCATGTAGCTTATCGTCAATTTAGAGAATAAAGTTACTAAAGAATAAAAGAATGCTGTAATTACCTAAACTGGGTTGGCCTCGAGGATCACAGTAGTTCTCTGTAGTCATGAAAACAACTGCCAATCCAATTTCTGCTTCAGGAATAGGTCTAAGACCCTGCCTGTAAAAACAGAATAGTTTAAGTATGATAATATCTTCCAACTAACATATTTATTAATATGATGTCAAGTTGACTCTTTTTTCCCCCAAAATAGTACAGCAATTTCAAATACATGGTGTGCTGGCTTACTCGCTGGAGCAGCCTTAAATGAGCAAGTCCACCATGTTTTACTAACTCGGTTATTGCGACTGTAACGTAAAAGCTAGAATAAAGGATACAAGTCCTTCCAGATCTAAAATTCTCTAATTTTCACAGTATCCAGATAAGCAATAAAATATATGTTTATAAGCAAATCTATATTTATTATAAAACTTAGAAGAAAGAAGCAGCAGGGAGAAGTGGAAGGAGAGAGAAAAGTACGAAGAACTGTATGGAAGTCGTATCTACACCTGTGTTAAGACTTTAAGTTTAGTAAATCAAATCACTTTACCAAATTGACATGTGCTAAGCAACCTTATTAAAGAAATCTTATGGTGAACCTATCCTCTGTTGTTCTATAATGTGGACAATAACTGATTTTATAAAACAAAAATAATTTAATACGATTTAATAGTCTTACATAGATACAATACCTCAAATTTTAACACTTTTAATACTTACAGTAAGACACCTGAAATGGCTGCAGTAGTTTAAAAGGTTTTTTTCAGGTGCTTACTTAACATTTGCTTTTTCGTATATATTGTTTGCGTTAACTTAGATTCAACTATATGTACAATTCTAATAGCATTATATTAAAAAAAAATTTTTTTTAAGTATTATAACCAAGTGATCGCATATACCTACTTATAATTCAGGCCATTCAAAATCCATATTTTATTCTACTAATGTTTCTGAAACTGTAAATATACTATGAAAATTAGTTATAAAGATTGGCTAAAGTAAAATTAAAACACTTTAAATACACATGTAATAATGAAGCCACACGACAGTACATCATCTTAGATGGGAAACAGTGGAAACACTCCTTGCCAAGTCAACAGTGACGCACACGTCGCTAACAGCACCACTCCCGTCCAGCACTGCTCTGGAATCCCAGTGGGGACAAAATGGAGAGAGAGGGAGGTACCAGAGGCATGAGGGTTAAAAACAGGATAGAAATGTTATTATTTACAGATATGATTTTACAAAAAAGACTACAGATAAATGATTAGAAATAAAAGGGGAGTCTAGCAAGGTGACAGGATATAAGAACAGTATCTCAATGTCAACTAAAGTTCTACACACCAACAGTAAACAACTAGAAGATATAATTAAAGAGACAATATCATATATTTATATTATATCTACCATAGATATAATATCTACCAGAGAACATGTAGTGCTAGGAATAAATCTAATAAAAGGTACTTAAGACCTCTAAAGAAAAATTATAAAAATTGTTAATTCTCCCTAAACTGATTTGCGAATGCAAATGGAATTTATCAAATTCCCAACAAGGTTTTTGAAAAGATGATTCTAAAATGTACATGACAAAAGGAAGAGCCAAGAATAGCCAGGATGCTTCTGAAGAAGAGCAGGAGAAAGAGATCTGTCCTATTAGACAAGAGACCGTAACTGAAATTATAGAAATTAAGACAGTGTGGCTAACGGTGTGGGCAAGGACAGACATACTGATCGACAGGACAGAATAAAGTTAAAAAGTTCATTTCCAGATAGATTCAAACAAATTTAAAAAACAAAATATCAAAACGCTAGTAAAAATTAGTAAAAAAAAAAAAAAAAAAAAATAGGTATATTCTTTTTCACAGAATACATCTCCATTAAGTGAAATGTTTATGGTATGAGTAACTGAAACTTTACTTTTTACTTCAGCAAATCCACAAAAGAAAAAAAGAAAAAAAAGCAATATCCATGGTTAGAAAGACTCTTGGGACAGGAAAAATGAATACTGCAAGAAGGTAGCTACAGGCTTTTTAAGCATACAGGTACCCTTGGCCCTAACTACTTTATGTTAGGTGAATAGAAATTTAGTCAACAGACTGCCAAGCCCAATGTTTTGACAATACTTTTTGGCTTCAACAGTGCTAAGATTATTAACACCAATTAAGAGTCTAAGAAAAAAACCCTTGATTTAGCTCTTTCAAACTTTCCCTCCCCACTATAAACACTATTCTGACATGTTTTTCCTACTTTCCCATAATAGTCTATATCAGAGGAATAAAAAATTTTATATGCATTTTTAATGGGTAATAATCATCAAGGGACAAACACATTTCTGCTCTAGGCAATTTCAGAAAAAAATTTACATATGAGTTTTAACTTTCTCAGCTGCTACTTAGTCTTCAAAAAAACTAAAGTACTGCTTTGTTAATTTAGAGAGGAGAATTCTGCAAATTCTATTAAAGTAATAAGAAAAGGGAGAAAATACTGAGATAAAACTACCATGGACAAAGACATTCTATTTCTAGCACACTCAGTCACAAGACGTTTTCAAGCACTAGTCACAAAACGCCTTTAATAGTAATGATTGGCTACGCCTTCTCCTGTCGCGCCGAGGGCGACACGCGACATTCGAACCGCCCACTGGCACCTGTGTCCCGTCGGACACGAGCCTGCACCTGTGCAGCAGCCCCAGGATGGCGTGAGCGCGGGCCCGCTGAGCGTCAGAAGCCGAGGTCTGGGACCCTGGCCCTGCGCCGCCGACGTCAACCACACAGGTCCCAGGCGCTGAGAAGAAGCCGTCGTCTTCTCCGCTGTCCTCCGTTACCAACCTGGCATCCCCTCCTCCGAAAACGACGGCCGAACTCAACTTCTTATGCTAAAGCGGGAAAAAAGGAAAAAGGAAAGAGCCACGGTTATCTGCTGGAGCGTAGTCTAAACCCTGCGAGTCACCTGGACCTAAGAGCACAGGGAAGTGGCACTGGTCCTGCTTCTGGAGGGCACGACCTGAGCTCGCGGGCTGAGAAGCGCCCGGCTCGCAGGCCCCTCTGCGGCCAGGTGGCCCCTGTGCCTGCCGGCGCGACGCGCCCTCTGGCGGAAGGCCCCGGAACCCCCGTTTCGACACACACACGGTCGACAGCGGTCTACTAACTGAGCAATTAAGAACTGAAACCCAAGTTTTCTGCCCCTCCTTACATATTACAACGACGGGCAGGTTCTGGTGCCTGGGCAGTTTTAGATTCCACTTTGCACTTTTACACAAGATCTCAAAAAGAAGATGCATTGGTAACTACTAATACTAGTAATAATTTGTCTTAGTTGATAATGTTTTCCTTAGCAAAATTTAGCTTATAACATTACCTGTCTGGCATCCAGAAATACAAAGGTTTTCCCTTTGAAGATTTGTTTTCTCTCCTGTCGTCCTGACAGGTCAATATTATTACTTCCAATAGCTGGCTCATCAATAGGGGGGTAAAAACTGTGGAAAAAAATTACAGTATATTCTAATTATACACTATTCTGTATATGTAAATGAAGTGGCTACCTAGATAGTAGAAAGGCTTAATTGCCATAACAACATTAAATTATTTCTTAAAAGTAAGTTTTTATCTAGGACAAAAGGACAAAAAGTATCCAAATGTCTTTTCTAGAAATATTGTGACAGGTGCCATATAGAATAGCAGAACTGTTCTTAATTTCCTGAAAATAAATAATCCAAGGCAACTCAATCATAACAAGATCTAATTAATATATATGACTCAAACAAGTTATGTGAATTACAAAGGTTGAGAGAGACATCATCCATAAAGATCAAATTCTATTAGCATCTTGTGTTTGCTTTGGAATAAATATGTATTAGTAATGTTCATATTCCAATTCTGTGAACTACAACTATAAGTTAAAGAGTTTTATTAGACATCTCTCTGGAGAAGCTGAGAAAATTAAAACTTTCATTATTCCGTCAATTCGAATAAAATTTCCAAAGTCAGGTTTAAAACGTCTTAATCATCCATGAGAATGAGGAAAAAGAAGAAAATAGAGAGAGAAAAATCAACCATTAATTCTCAAGCCTCTCAGTCTATAGTTTCAACTTTCTACATAATCAGATCTTTTGCTACAGCTATTCCTAAGTTACCAGCATTTCGGTACCTCTACCTTCCAGTAAAAATTACTAATGTTCATGGATAATGGAAGACTCAATATTGTCACACCGTCAGTTCTTCCCAAATTGATCTGTAAATTCAATGCAACTCAAATAAAACTACTAGCAAGTTATTTTGTGGATACCGACAGATCCTGAAGTTTATACGGAGGCAAAAGACCCAGAACAGCAAACAAAATACTGAAGAGGATGTTCTAACTCGACTACAAAGGAGTGACTCCTAGAACCCACAACTTCAAATAAGCAAGTTATGTGCAAGCAGGACAGACCTAGCAGGATGGAGTGCAACCCACTGCATTATTCTGGTTTCCTAGGTAACTGACTTTAAATTCTATTCATGCTACTTATAAAGATACAAAGAGACTAGTGGAAACTAATTTAACTATTAACGTTAAATCTACAATAAGAAAAGAGAGCTAGAAAATTCTAATTTATAAATAGGAGAAATCTTTAATATCTCTTCAAACATCTTTCATCCTTTTTTCCTTTTAAAAAGAATTCTTCCATATCTGACACTCCTTTTAGTATAAAAGGCAACTAACATTTCACTTGTATACAAATGGTTAGATTATGAATTAGTCTACATGGTAATGTAACAACACTACAGACAAAAATATATATTCACACACACATATGACTGAAAGGATGCAAGATTCTTACTGCTTTCCAATGACGACAAAATATGATTTTAAAATTTAAAATTATCTACGGCTTTATGTTATCCACACTGTCATTCTTAACTCTGCCACAGATAACAGTGTACTGTACCCAGTACTGGCACATATGCAACATTTGTTTCACGAAGAAACAATCAACAAAGAATCTGGGGATCCTTTCTTTACATGCTAACAAAAAAACTTCACTAATAAAATTGAACTATAACAGCAGATACTGAAACAATCATTAAAGAGGGAATTAGCCTGAAAATCAGTGCTAGTCTACAGCCATGCAACCTAAACAAGCCCGATCCCGGCTAATCTTGGAAGCTAAGCAGGATCGGGCCTGGTTAGTACTTGGATGGGAGACCACCTAGGAAGACCAGGTGCTGTACGCATTGAAATAAAAAAAATAAAGGATTGTAAGCTGACAAGGCCCTTGCAATCTGTGAGGTCAACCAAGGGTTGCCTCGCCTAAAAAAAAATAAAAAATAAAAAAAATCAGTGCTATCACACTTTGTATATCGTATTTTATTATACTTAAAACACACAACATACCTTTCGATTTGTGGAAGCTGTTCCTTGGACTGAACTGCTTTAAGAAATTCAGTAAAATATTCTGGCTTTACAATTGGACGTCCACAAATGAGCGCACATATTGTCTAACAAGAAGAAAACATATGTGAATACATGTACTCATGCTAGCTTATTTTTTAAAAAGTTTTAAGCTATAAACTATAAGGGGGCTGTCCTATTCCTTTTTCTTCTCAGCTCTCTAAATTTATAAAAAAGGCATGATCTATAAAATAGAAGTCAGTATTCAGTCATTGCTTAGTTTAGTATGTAAATCCCCGTATAATCATTCGCTTATTAGAAACCACCAATTACAATATTAATTTAAAAACTGCTCTGGGAGAGAACAACATAACATAAAATAGATTTCCATTTCAAAATGTATTCCAATTTTTAAGATATTAAAATGTTAAAAGTGTATCTTAGGACTGAGGCAATGTAACATCTGCCCTAGAGAAGACAGTATCGAGAGATAACAAGAGAGAAAAGACCTCTTCAGCCTGTCTTTCCACCAGATTGTGACAAAGGAATAAAGTCTGTTCAAGAAAGTAAATCACTATTTGGGATTGGGTAAAAGCTCAAAGTAAGTATATACAGATGGGGGACGGGCTTCAACTAGCAAGTGAATTAAGCTATAAGCCTCAAATAAGATACAGTCACAAAATTTGAGAAAGGTTAGAAAATACAACCAGCTGTAAGAGTGCATCCCCACTGTAAACTAATAAGCAGGCACTCTGACTTATGAATGTGTTATCTCTGGGTGTGCCGGCATAAATACTCAACTGAATTTTTAAATCGATTTCATAAACTTGCAGAGATGAAAAGATCCTTGGTCGGATAACCCCACCAAAATACAAATTTGACTTGAGGTTCAATCTGAGCAGCAAGCCCTTCTCTATGATACCTCCCTAGCTATAGTACATACATTCTGATTTAATTAATTATATTAGATAGTAAAGGATTTTTCTATTCAATAAGTATTTCTTGCTTTTCGCTATAGATATTAACCTAAAACAATCCTATGTATACATGATCTACTTGTTTAAAAGGAGATGAATCACCTCCCAGTGTCTTTCTTCAATTAGCTTTGGATATAACCAAATCTGACGAAGATGCAAAATCTGAAAACGTACCAAAATGTGTATTACTTTTGAAGAGTCAGCATCTTCCAAAGGCACACAATCTACAAATCTCCAGATTGCGAAGATACATTAGCATAATGTTAAACTACAAGACCTCAAAAAAGTATTTGTGATTAGGGCCTTGAACCAAATAAAAACAGAAAGCACATTGAGACGAGATGACGGAGACAGGAGGAAGACTTGGCAGGAGACGTGGACACGAACTCTGAAGGCTGGGAGCTGAGCCCTCGTCGCTTCGCTTAGAGTGAAAACACAAACTGAACACTGGACAAACTTCTTGGTGAACAGATAACATAAATCATTTTTTAAAATACTAAATCAAAATCTGAAATATAATTTTATGTGTTACTGCACATAATAAACACATTTTTAAAAAGCCATTTCCGCCTAGTTGGTACACAAAGGCATGGCACTAGCATATGCAAATCTACAATTCTGATAAGTTTAAAGTAAATGACTTTAAAAACGACTGTGTACAGGAGGTGAATAAGTTTAAATTCACAGAACTTATTTTAACGTAATAACAAGGCATTCGACCTACTTTAATGGTAACTTTAACTGATTTCATGACAAGGTGAGTGCATTCTTCTGTCCAATTGTTTGCAGTGAGTCCTCCAAGGTTCAATATAGCTTGGTTTAAAGCCATCTTCCCAGAGACATCCAAACAAGAAGAGCATGCAACCAAGCGCTCATACTCTACTCTGTAAATAAAAATGAGTTACACAAAGTTATATTATCAATTACAAAGATGGCAACCTACAGAACTTTAAACCTGAAGCTCACATCACATGATGTGATTTTAATTTTTATGTATTATTAAACTTCATTATTAAAATAATGAAGTCATCGCTTCCTAAATCTGGAGTTGCAGAGTTAATATTATACCCTCACCTATGCGGAATCAAACAAACGTAGTTCAAAGATGCAATGGAACCTTACTCAAACTCTTATCCTGGTTATTACCTATCACTGACAAAGACGCACGGACCACATGTGGTACGAAGTTCACCACTGAGCTAAGTAGGAACTAAATTAGACTTCTGTGTCCTTTAGAATTTGATTAGTGAAAATAAAGCTGTCCATTTTTAATATCGATTTTAAAAATTCTTACCTGAATTTACTTTCATACACTCCAAATGTAATTCTATCTCCTGGCTTCAAAGTACAGGAAAGGTCATTTTGCATTTTTTCCTCATTAACAAAGGTTCCATATTTAGAATTATCTTTTATTGTCAATACAGGAATTTCATCTATTTGACTCTGAAAAAAAAATCAACAATTTAAAATGTTTTATCATTCAGTAAGTATTCAAAAATGTTTTCCTATACCTATAAGAATAGACACAAAACCTAAACATCACTGAACAGATCTAGCATTTGCTGATATGTAGTATTTAGTAAAAGTAATGGTTTTTCTTCCTTATTACTACCAGTACTATCATGAGCACAGCTATTTCTATGTATTTGTATTACTTTTATTACCCAACATTGTAATCGGACCAACCAAACAATCAAAACAAACTCAAAGCCATTCAAAGAGCTGTGGGGAATAAGCAACAGCTGTTTACCCTAATAAAACAAATCAATTCTCAGTGTGAAAACCTATCTTAAACAGGAAATACCTGCGTTCACAGAGCTACACAAACTCTTTAAAGCAGACCTGACAATCTGTTCACTGCTCTACTTCCAGACTTCATACAGAGACTGACACACAGTAGGCACTCGATAAATGTTTAAGTAAATAAATATGTTCTTCTTCCTCTGAATTTCTAAATTAGAACAAAGAGTAAAATACTGGAACAGAAACTTAATGATCAAAATAGACAAATACCACTGGTACCACTGCCCAAATGTAGGTATTTAATTTTTGCAAATTAAAAAAAATTAACAGTTTTATGAAAGGTCCTACAAACTCTTACATACGCACCAAGATAATCTTTTATGATTTCAACCCCCTTACTTAAGCTAGTGAGATAAAATTAGTAACATACCAGGTTGGTTACAGAAAAGTTAGCAGTTAACACAGCATGATTTCGACTAATTGACTGATCATTTTCTATTAGAATGCCACAGTTTTTCCTTCCAACAACATACTCAACGCCAGTCAAAAGTCTGTATGGTTCTAAGAGAAATAAAAAAAAAGATAAAACCACGTGTGTATATATATAGATATAGATATATGCAGACACATATAAAACAGATAAGGCAAATATTTACGTAAAATAGTGTTATTTTGCTATTTAAATGTTAATGGTCGACTCTATAAATCAAACTTATTTTTCTGGTAAAGCCTCACTGAAGGACGCAAAAGATTAAATAGATGGAAAACTCCACCATTTTTCTAAGAAAAAAGCAATACTAAAGTGTGACGGGTCAACTAAGTTAACTTCTAAATTTAATGCATTACCGAACAAAATCGAAACGCGCTTGACCCTTGAACCACGCGGTTTCGCACCACGCGGTGGTGACCTGCGGAAGACCAGGGCGACTTAAGTTGCGTGGGTTCGGGAAGGGGGCGGTGACCGTTGCCCTTAACCTCTGCGTTGATCAAGGATCGACTGGACTATCTATGCTGGGAACGGGGTAAACGGAAATACGATGTAAAAAGCTGCCAAGAGAATGATGACCACTACGGGCACTTGCCCTAGCAGAGGGCAGAATGCGCCGCAAAGCTGCAGCCACTACAAATACCGTACGGTACGGGAGAAAATGCCCCGGACCACGCACCAACATCTCAGCCAGTGTCCCGTGGGGCTCGCGCCTGGCGTCAGAGGCGGCACCCGCGCTGGGTGGGACCGGGGACCGGATGGGCACAGCAACCAGGCTGCGGACACGCCGAGCTCGGCCCCGGCGCACCGGACCGCGCTGCCGAGACGCGCGTTCCGCGGGACGGCGTGGTGAAGTCCCGGTCAGCCAATTCCTTCACCCGAGTCTCCTCAGCTTCTCTAGGGAACAGGCGACCGTCGTCACGGCCGGAACGCGCTGTGTCTCCTCAAAGCTGGACACGCAGGCGTCACAGCCGACGCCGGCCGCTCGCTCGAGCGCCGCCACCCCGCAGTGGCCGCTGTCGCAGGAGCCAGGACCACCTCGCGCGAGGGCGGGGCGGGGCTGCGCCGGGAGGACCGCCCCACGCCCCGCCCCCGGGCCCTACGCCCCCGCCCCTCGGGTGGGGCACGTTCTTCCGGCTCCGGCAGACGCGACCCACGCCCCGCCCCCAGGCCCAATGCTCCGCCCCCTCGCCCGGGGCACGTCCTCCCGCCCCGGCAGACGCTCTGCTTCCCGCGCTCGACGCAGTACCCCGCAGTCAAAGGGCGAAGCGGGGACGAGGCGGCGCCGGGACGAGGCGGCTCCGAAACGCGGCGGCAGGGTCGGGGCGGAGCCGGAAGCAGCGCTGCCCAAACCCTCTGCCCCGGCATTTGTCTCTGGGATATCGGTTCCCGCACACAAACCTAGCCGTCTCACCTCGGGCGGGGCCCGCGGCGGGGAGCAGCTTCCACATGGGTCTCGTCCTCAGCGTCGGAGCGACGTGCGACCGCGCAACCGCAGCTGACAGACTTGCGTGGCACCAGCGCCCGCGATCCGGCGAGCTCCGTCACGTGTGCGCTCCCCGGCCCGCGCCTGCGTAGGAAGCGGGGAAGACAGATAGCGACGTGGCTCCTGGTAGCCACCTGGTGGCTAGGACGGGACTAGCGCAGTCTGTATGGAAGTGTGCCGTACTAAAGGACTGGGAAGCACGAATCCCTTTGTTCTCGAATATTAAAACTATCAGCTTTTTTCTGATCGTGAATGTAAATAGCTTAAAAATTAGCTCCGAAGCAACGTAAGGAAACTTCATACTTAAAGACATCAGCACACTAACCACTTCCGTAATTCCCTGCATTTGAAGTTTCTTTCATTGTAATTATTCTTTTGTATGAATCCTAACAATGATGATAATTATGGTGAAGCTCTGGATTTCAGCCCCGTCAACTCATTATTCTCACTCTTCTTCAAGCTCAAATCAACTTATCCTAACCTTTCTGTTTCATAATGTTACACTTTCATCTATCAGGAGCTAAATCCTTTCCACTTCCGCTTGTACAGGCTCTCCTGCTCCAGGAACCCCTGATCCTTCACCACGCACCTCCTGCACTGATCTATTCCACATCCTGCACACTACAGAGTGAACACCCTAGAGGACACTTTTGATCGTGTAAGTTCCGGTTCTCAAAATAATGAGAAGAAAAAAATGTCACTTTAAAACGCTGGTTTACCAGTTTCTCTTAGGAACACAGATGCAAAAATCTTAAACACAAAATTAGCAAAATGAATCAAGTGGTATATAAAAAAGATAATTATGAGTAAGTGGAGTTTACTTCAGAAATGGAAAGGTGCGTGTTAATTGGCGCGGGAAAAAATAATGTAATCAGAATAACAAAAAAAGGAGAGAGGAAATCGTGATTATACTGGTAGTCGTAGAAAAAGCATTTGATATTCATGGTAAAAACTCAGCAAAGTAAGAATAGTGGGAACATCCTTAATCCGATAAAGGTCGTCAGTGAAAAAACTGCAGCTTCCATTATAATTACGGTGAATTATTGAATTGTTTTTTCTGATGTTAGGAATGAAACAACATATTTGCTTTTGCCACTTATTTTCAAGGTGATATTGGATGCTTGAACCAATGCATATGGATTAAAAAGGAAGAACACCCTGATTATTCACAAATGACATGATTGTGTATATCAAAAGTCTAAAGGATTCTATTTGCAAACTATTTGAATTAAGTGAATTTAAGAAGGTCATTGGAAACAATATATAAAAGATGTATATAAAATAGATAATTATAATAGCACCGAAAGTCATCAAATACTTGGCAATAAATCTATCAAAAGGTGTGATACAAAACGTTAACTATAAAACGTTATTGACAGAAATTAAGTCCTAAATAAATACAGGAATAATATACCACATTCACGGATTATCAAGGTGTCATTTCTCCCAAAATTGATCTATGGAGTCAATGCAATTTCAGCAATGCCTCAGAAGATTCTTTTCAGATTTTTTTATAAGCAGATTCTAAAATGTATATTGAAATGCATAGACTGAGAATAGCCAAGGAAATTTTGAAGAACAAAGCTGGAATATGGAAGAACACTACCAGATATCAAAATGTAGCAAAGTTATGGTTATTAAGTCAGTATTCTATTGTCAAAAGTATAGAAAATAAGCAAATGGGTCAATAAGACCTAAAAAAGGTGTATGCGTATAATTTGATTTTTCAAAAGCAACACTACAGAGCAATGATAGGTTTTTGGGTTTTTTCCTCAGCGAATAATCCTGGGGATACTGGTTAACACTACAGAAGAAATGAAGACTGACCCTACATCTGTAATAGCCCGCTGAAATGTGAAAGGGTTAAAGAATAATTAAAACCTGAAACTGGACAAAGGAAGTCTATAACTTAGGCCTAGTTTCTGGAACCCCTAACCACATTCTGTTAATCATGAAACTTGTAACAATGAGCTCATGTGCTAACTGCCAATTTTAGCCTGTGTAACCCTGCTTGCTTGCATGGCATGAAAAATAATCAATTGTATATAAGCTGAAAATTACTATTTGGCCATCGCCCATGGGAACACTGGCTATTGCCCATGGGAACATAGGCAATCACCCATAGGAACATAACATTCTAACAACAAGCTTTCTGCTTCTGTACTTCCCGCTTGCACACCTGACCAGTGGGTTGACAGGTAGTGAATAGGAGAAAGATGGACCTTTGTGTTTAAGACAGAACGAGGAATGGGATTTGGTGCTTCAAAAC